GTCTTAGCTTAGATAATGAAGTTAAAGAGATTCAAGAAAAATCACCCTAATATTTTTTAAAGCTACTCGTGATGATTGATAAAAGTAAAATTTGGCAACTGTTCTTAGGACTTGAGCTTCTATCATGGAGCAATCTTAAATGATTTTCAATCCAGTCCTTGCTGTTACAGCGATGGTGGGGCAAATCATTGCATCTAGGCACTAAAGAAAAGCAGGCTTGCTCCTTGATTCTTCTGCTTGTCAGTTAGTCCATCAGTTTTTTCCCATGATGCACACTTATGGATTTAGGGCCATTTGATTTCAATGAGGTCCTCAAGGCCAATGATTTAAACACTGCACTGTGAAGAAACTATCGTGTCCTAATTCTGCAATCTTTTTCTACTGCATGAAAATCTTCGGCCCTGGAAGCATGTGATTACATTAGCCCATATGAAATTTATTAAGATTTGCCATGAAGGACGTGGCTAAAAGTCCTTTGGACCGGGTTCTCTGAGCATCCCTGTGGAAAAGTCTATGGCAGGCATTGACTGTAACCAGACTGTTCCAGGTCTGCTCTGCACGGCCATAGGGACACAAAACGGACAGAAGTGAAAGAAGAAGATTTGGTTGGCCAAGCAAAGGAGCACACCGGAACTTGCGTCACCAAGATGGTGCCCTGAACAATGGCGGAAACAGTATTTATTAGGGGAAGGGTCCTGGGGAAAGGAGCAAGGTCGTTGACTGGTCTGGCCAGAAAAAGACTTTCCTGGGGTGGTTCCATCGTCTGCACTTGCTCAGTCCAAAAGGAGGTCTCTCAAACCATATCTTAGACTCTGACCCCTCGCTTCTGAAAGTCTTCCCCCCATGTTGGGCCGCTAAAGTTTGGTTTCATCTGGCGGGAAGAAAAGTTCTGGGGTCACCCAGAGGACAGGGTTGATGGTTCTGCACATGTCAAGTGGGCCAGATTTGGTCTTAACTGGTTTTGTGGTCTGCAGACACCATCCTCTTCTTTTTCTTATCTTGGGCAGGAAGTTGGCTGATTGCCTAAAAAACATCTGGAGAAACCAGTTAGAAGGGGAGGTGGCTCATGCTGCTCTTAGAGGCTAGGGTCTCATTGACCACTGATAAAAATCATCTCTGTTCCTGTGTCGCAGGACACAGAGATCTTCCACCCAATCTCAGAGCATTGGAGGAATGACAAGATGTGATGATTCAGACTTATTCAGCTACCATGATTTCTCTCTCAGCCTGTACACTTGGAGGCTCCATGTGTTGGCTATGTAGGGTCTTAAAGAGTCATCCAAAGGAGAAATAATATAAATCTTGCAATTTCCAGATAAAGAGTATCTGATTATTGAAATTTTTCAAAAAGAAAAAACCTTAAGAATCAATACAGTGACACCATTCTGGTACTGATTTTTCTTTAAGGGCTGAAATTATGAATTTATATTACAAAGAAAAAAGAATAATTTTGTTCCCACAGTACCTGCTATGTAGACAGGAAGGAAGTAACA